ATGGTGAAGTCTTCAAAAACGGAAACCAGCAAGGAAAAATCAAAAGTCAGGCGGGACCGACCGACCCACCACCATTATGCATATTTAGTAGAGCTCCCGTAACAAAAGAATTTATTTGATGTAGATCATACGACCTATCAACATTTGGTTTTAGAGCAGTTATAATTTGGTTTCAGAATGAACTAAGGCATATCCAATTCTAAATCGAATTTTCACTAAATCTGACGGAGACATTTTTTATTTTATAACAAATAACATTGCTATAGAGTGCAAGATATCACTTCGAGAAGGATTATACTAAAAAATATATATCGGAGTCGAGTTCCGCCAAATGGAAACGTATGTCCCGAAATTCACTCCATTTGGGCTAATATTAGCCATTATTTTCACAATAAACCTGAAATCGGATTAAGGATATATGGGAGCTATATCCAAACCTTAGCCGATCTTGATAAAATTTGTCAAAGGTATTTCCGAGCTCTAAAAGAATATCATTCTTGTGGAGTGCATATTACGAATGTGAGGGACTTAAACCCCAAATCGAATGAAACATATTTACGGGAGCTATGGTTATATCTGAACCGGTTTTTACCAAATTTTATGTACTTACTTCTAGACGGATGTACCAAAATTCAGGTCATTTGGACTGATATTGGCCATTTGGTGCACTATTAACATGAAATCTATTGAAGATATATATGGGAGCTATATCCCAATCTAAACCGATCTTGGATCTCTGGGCTGTATCTGATACCAAAAAATCATTTTTGTCGAATGCATATTACGAATGTGATGGACGTAAACACCAAACGGGTAAAGTATATATATTTGGGAGTTATATCTATGTCTGATCCGATTTTCACCAAATTTGATGTACTTTCTTCTGGACTTCATTATGTCGGAGGTGCCAAAATTCAGATAATTTGGACCGCTATTGGCCATTTAGAGCACAATTATCCTTAAATCGGATAAAGGTATATATGAGAGCTATATCCAAATCTGAACCGATTCTCACCAATTTCAATAGGATTCGTCCTTGGTCCAAGAAAATTATTTGTGGAAAATTTCATCTTAATCGGATAATAAATACGACCTGCACTTTTGTTCACAAAAAATACATGGACAGATGGACATACAGACAGACGGACATGCATAAATCGACTTAGAAAGTGATTCTATGAAGATCCTCAAAGTAATTATGGGTCTATCTAGCTTCCTTCTCCATGTTACAACCAATGTACAAAGACATAATACCCTTACCACTATGTGGTGTAGTGTATAAAAATTCAGAGCTGGATATGCTCATTTGAAATTAAACTACCTAGAAATAGGTACGTCGACCTTGACTTTGGGGCTTTTTCAACGCCAACAGTTGACCCCGACTTTGGGGCTTTTCAGCACTAAAAGTCAAACTCTACTATGAGGTTTTTTTCAACGACAAAAGTCGACTTACGAATCCCTACTATGGATAACCAAGAAACATTATACCATGTTCTTATTGCAGTTTGAATCATGTAAAATGCTTTTAAAACTAAGCAAACGAAGAATTAACGTCACGATTCGTAATTCATAGTAACTAAATTCAAGAATAGGGCAAGAATAACGTGTAGAGAGTGAATCCCGTACCATGTGAACTTGGCAGAAGTACAAAAGCAGCTAAGTTCGGCCAGGCTGAACTTATAATGCCCTTCACCATTTTAGAGGAACATAAAATTTTTGAAAAAATGAAACCCCATATGTGGGCTATACGAAGACGTGGTCCTTCATAAGTAAATTTTTGTCATAGGCTGTAGCACCGATTTCGAACTTCAAATACGAAATTTGAATCAATTCCGGTGAATAATGTCGCAAAAATCATGAAAATGCGGAGTATCGGGAGGTACCGAAGACTTACACCTGCACAGACAATTTTCTGTCTTAGGTTGTAGTACCCATTAAGAACTTCCAGTACGAAATTTCAAATGATTCCGGTAAATAATGTTACTGCAAGCGTCAATATACCGACTATCGGGAGGTACCGTTATATAAGAACTATACGAAGACGTGGACCTGCATATAAAATTTTTTTCATAGGCTGTGGTACCCATTAGGAACTTCCAGTACGAAATTTGTAATGATTCCGGTAAATAATGCCCCAAAAATCGCCAAAATACCGAATATAACTCCCGATATTCGTTATATGTAGGATATACGATATCGTACACCTATGTAGACAATTCTCCTCCTGGGGGTGAAGTACTCAGAAGTAACTCCTGGTGTGGATTCTCAGACAATTTCATTGAACAATTTGGCTACAATCATCAAAATACCAAATATCGGGAGGTACCGTTATATCAGGGACATACAATATCGTGGACCTATATAGAGATTTCTCTTCCAGAGGGTAAAATGCTTAAAAAGAAGTCCTAGTATTGATTTTTAAATAAAAATCCATTAAAAATTGTAGATAAAATCTTCAAAATACCGAATATAGGGAGGTACAGTCTTAAGGGGGATATACAATATCGTGGACATATATAGACAATACTCTTCCAGGAGTTAAAGTACTCAAAAGGATTTGGTGGATTTTCAGACAATTTCATTGAAAAATTTGTCGACAATCATCAAAACACCGAATATCGGGAGGTACCGATATTGGAGGACATACGATATCGTGGACCTATATAGAGATTTCTCTTCCAGAGGGTAAAGTGCTTAAAAAGAAGTTCTAGTATTGATTTTTAGATAATTCCATTGAAAAATGCAGATAAAATCTTCAAAATACCGAATATAGGGAGATACCGTTACATGGGGGATAAACGATATCGTGGACATATATAGGCAATACTCTTCCAGGGGTTAAAGTACTGAGAAAGATTTACTTTTGTGGATTTTAAGGCAATTCATTGAAAAATTTGGTTAAAATAATCAAAATATCGGATATCTGGGGTACTGTTATATCGGGGCTATACGATATCGTAGACCGATATAGCCCATCTTCGATTGATCTGTACAAAATTGTTAGCTTCCTAAAGATAGTTTTGACTCTAGCATGATTACACCAGACGAATGGACAGGACAGACGGACACGTTCTAAAGAAAGCGTGATTACAACAGACAGACAGACACACAGACGGGCATCGCTAAATCGTATTAGAATTTTACGCTGATCTAGAATATATATACTTTATTGGGTCTGACATGAGTATTTCGAGCAGCTACAAACGAAATGACAGACTTAATATACCCTCCACACTATGTATGGTGGGGGGTATTATAAAACCATGGTAGAATTAAGAAGGTAAAGTCATGCAATCATATGTTTACAATTTTTTTCAAAAATATTCATTTGACAACATCTTATGGTCAAAACATGGTAGAAGAATATAGGTAGTCGCATCGACACAGCTGCTGGGACAATGAACTGTCAAACCGATTTTGGAATTGAAAATGTTGAATGAAAAATTATTAATATTTGTAAAAATTGATATTATAACAACCTCTGATTTTCGTCGTATAAAAATCTTTGCAAAATCCAATTATGTTTCATAAAACATTTTAAAAATGCATTTACACGTATTCTTCTACCATGGGTCGAAATTAATATTTATAAATCCATTGTATACACCGAAATCAGAGATGGGAACCTGTTTTTAATTCAGTGAATTTTGACAAGGTAAATAACAGAAATGCAAAGATGGGAATGCATGTTTGAAATGTCTTTACCTTCTTAACAATGAATAAAACCTTCTTCTTTTTTCAAAAATAAAGACCTTCTAAATTTATTTCTGAAAAAAAAGATCTGTTGAATCTTGAAAAAGTATCCCAAAACAAATTGAGATATCCTTCTTTTAAATATTGTTTGAAATTACTTTACCTTCTTAACCATTAATAAAACCTTCTTCTTTTTTTTAAAAATAAAGGCCTTTTAATTTTATTTCTGAAAAAAGATCTGTTGATTCTTGAAAAAAGTATCTCAAAACCAGTTGAAATATCCATATTTTTTAAATTTCCTCAATGTTTTAATTTGAATCCCATCCTCATGTTATTGCTGGCACTACTCTCGAATATATTACGGGCACGTTTTGCTTCCATTGAATTCCTTAATGATTTTGCCTTTTCATGAAACAATTAACACTTGTTTAACAAACAATTGCAATGAAACGGGCGAAAAAAAGTTTCCTTTTTTTCGGATGATTTCAACAGACAACAATTTTTCAGGGTTGTTGGTATTGCTTTCTTAAATAAACAACAGAGCCGATGATCACACTGAGTAATGTAAACACAAGGCCACCAAAAAGAAAAAAAGCAAAGCAAATACACAACAAAAAGAAGAAGAAAAAACAAATAATAACAATGAAAAAAAAAACAATTTTTACTCCTACACAGCCTATGCTACACTCACACTATTGGGGGGAGGCCATACAATGTTGAAATGTGGCTCTTTTTCTCTTTTGTTTCTCTCTCTCTGAGGTCTGTTATTTGTTGAAACAAAAATAAAGGATTATATGTCAGGTTTTCTCCCCCTTTTTTCATTTGCTCTCTCTCTCTCTTTTAATGGAAAAAAATCACCATACAAATGAATATGCATTTGTTTGAAACAAAACAACGGATTTTGGTATATGCCAATTTAACGGAAACACTCTCTTTCTCTCTCTGTCTCTGTTTTTCTCTGTCCGTTAGAGAGATCTGTGAAATCAACTGGTATTTGTTTTGTTGCAAAAACATGGCAAGGATTGTTCATGCCATTATTATAAATTTTTCTTAAGCTCTCCCCCTATCTTTCTCTCCCTCTTTCTCTTCACGTCTGTGTGTTTTATGTGGGAAACTGAAAAAACCAAGGATCATTCCATTTCATTTTCATTTCATGGTGTATATATTTCTTTTTTTGTTTCGTTTTCTTGTTGTTTTTTTTTAAATTGTTTTTGTTGTTTGCTGTTTTACACATATACAATACAAATACATATAAAGGTTGGACATATACAAAGTGGACTCATCGATACAATTAGAAATTATATTAGTTTGGTTTTCTTTTTTTTTTTGTTAACAACAAAGCAAAGGGTAATAATAATAATCATAAAAAAAATACTCGTTATGGGTAATTGTTGCTGATTTCGTTAAAAAAAACTGGGGTAAGGGTGGGGGTTGGTTGGTTTACTATCGAAATTCGTAAAATTGGCTGCTCGATTTTATCGCTCGTTCTCTCTCTCTCTCGCGCTCAGAGTATGTAGTTCTTTTGCTTCTCCGTGGGTAGGGTTTTATTGACAAACGAAACTATGGCAGATGCTGGCTGATTTATGGCCAAATCACAGAAAACATGACACTGATTGTCCTTGGAACTGGCCGAACGACGGGCCACAAAGGCAAATATGGTCTTCTTGAGGGCACCCACCACAGTGGTGTTGTCATTGTCATGCTCCTGCATGGTCCACATGCGATTATCGGGATCAATGGCACAGAAGGAGATAATGTCGGCGGTGTAGTGCTTGCGGAAGAATTTCTTGCGTGTATTGTCCGTCAGTGTGATGCCCTGATGGCTGACCTTGAAATGGACCTCAATGGGTGTTACCTTGTTGCCGGGGGCATTCATTTGACGCATGGCCTTGCGTATGGCTTCCTCGCCCGTCAGAGATTCGGTGTCACATGAATATAGCCATAGCACGTTGCAGGCTGCGCCTTGTGTCAGCAGCTGCGTTTGGGCCGGACTTGGCTCCACCAAAGGCTGGACAATATCACGTTCAGGTATTTGTAGAAGGCAAGGTAGAGCCAAACGATTTATGGAGTGTTCATAGATCAGGGCCGACAGGGAGGTGAACACGGGCTCATTGTTGCAATCCTTGAGCCGCACACCCCTTGTGGTGGGTTCTATTAGGAAATGGCGCACCAATTCATCCGGTCGGCCACTGGATGGCGTGCCTGGCGGTGGCTGGGCCACACGCAATACCAAACCATAGAAATTCTTGTAGGTCGCTGAATCGCGTACCACAAAGGTTCCCGGCGGGGCATGCAGCAGCAGAGCTAGGGCCTCGTCCCTGGACAAGTTGGGTTTGTACCAGAATTTCGAAGAATCTTTGGCAAATTTCACCAAATGTGCTGCCACCTCTTGGGGCTCGCTGTTCGCCATGGAAAGACTGGAATTTAGACGAGGCCTATAATTGGTGCCATACAACGTTTCTGTGGAATAATTTTGGATTTCCGTGACAGAGCCATTGTGGCGCTGTATGGTGTTGTAGCTGCTGCTGCCGACGCCAGAGTTGGTGGCAAAGGGGGTGCGCGGTGTAACAGGAAATGCTGGTGTCTCCGGGCGTATGGTGCCGCCTGGTGAGGCAGCTGGATAATCTGTGATATTTAAAGCGGCCATGGAAGCTGTGGCCGTGGAGGCAGCGGCATTTGTATGCTGTTGCGGTGTTGCACTGCGATACAGTGGTGCGGCAGCTGGTGATGTTGGTGTTGTTGTTGTTGCTGCTACTTGTGTTACCTTTTTGGTACTGGTGGCATAAATAGGTGACGTCTCTCTTCTTCTGGCCATTTGTGGCGTTGTTGCCTGGCCACGACTGCCATCATGTGCTTGCTGTTGTCCATAAATCTGGCCATTGCCATATGGAGTCGGATCATGGCGATTTGTGCGTTCTATGGTTGTGGTGGTGCTGGTGCTGCTGATCAATTGGTTGTTGGTATTGGTGTTAGCCTCTAATGGTCTTGACTTGTTGCTGGCATACTGATCGTCATAAGGCGTAGCATAAATATCCGACATGAAGGAGGAGGATGAGGAGGCCGGAGGAGCATTGGCCGATGCTGATGATGTTGTCGTCTGCTGCTGCTGCTGCTGATAATTCCGTTCCACATTGTATGAGGCCAATGGAATGTTGCGTGTTTCATACAATTGCTGGTGTTGTTGCTTTTCTTGATACTGGCCATAGGCGGCATCGGGCGCCAAATTTGGACGCCTTCTTAAGATGTCGGAATCCAGTTCATCCTGATATCTCGAATGGGTGGTCATAAAACGATCCAGAGTTTGATGCTGACGCACAGTTTCGGGGGAACGATAACGCTGCGGCGATCTATCCAGAGTTTGATGGCGTGGTGGACTTTTCACAAAGTCCACTTCATCATTGTTGGGCGCCACACCGTTTTGTCGTTGCTCCAAATGATAGTTGCGATAGCGTACAGGGGATCGATCCAGGGTTTGATGGCGTGGCCGGCCATCATCATTGGGCGCCAAGCCGTTCTGACGTTCATCTAAATTCAAATTGAATTGAAAATCATAATTATATTTGCCAGCAGAGCGTTGTGGCACCTGAGGACCCATCTCCCCATATTGGGCGCCACCATAATTTGACAAAGACGATCCACGGCCATTGTTTAGATTGGGCGGCAGCGTTGAGGGTAGCTGCACCGTGCCATTGATAAAACGCCTGGGCGGTGGCAGGGGTGAGCGATTGGGTGGTGTTGTCAAGACCTCTTGCGTTGTCGAACGATATTCATTGAAAACCTTTTCACGACGCTCACGCAACAATTCATCAAAATCAGGCCGAGCAGGGGTTTTCGAAGTGGTTGTTAGTGTGTCAACACCAGCGTAAGTTGGTGTATTGCGACCATAGATGTTGTTGTTGTTGCTGCTGTTGTTGTGGCTACTGATATTGCCATTTAAGCCAAACTTGTCAAAGTTGTCGCCTGCACCACCACCACCACCACTGCTATTCTTATTGCCATAACTGTAGTGGTAGGTATTGGCAATGGTATTGGTAGAGGAGCGCGTAGGTGAGCGACTAATAGTCGAGTTATGGTTGTTGTTGTTGCTGCTGCCCAAAGTTTTTCTTACTAGCAAAGGACTAGTGAGACGTGGCTGAACTTTAATCATACTGGGATCCGGTTCATCTGCCGAAATCGACGATTTACTATTATATCTCAGAGATTGGGTACAACCCACACCCGCACCACCGTTGGAGGTATCCAAAAATTCAATACGTTTTTTTGCACGATCCGTCGTTGCTGGATTGTAATGATTGGCATCCAACGCATATCGGGCGCCATTTACACCATTTGATGTTTTCGCATGAGAGCCGAGCAAATGATCATTATTATTGTTGGCGTTGTTGTTGTTGTACCGATCAGAACTTAAATCGAAATCGAAATCAAAGTCAAAATCATGTTCAAGACCGTTTTTATAACTACGTGACACCGATGATGACGTCGTCGTCGCGGCAGCTGAGGCTGACGCCGTTGGCCTCAATGGCGTTGATGTTTTGCTAATTTGTCCATAACTGAATGGTAGGGAATTTTCACGGGCATGATATGGTATGCTACCATTGCTATTGTTGTTGTTGTTACTGTTATTGTAGTTGTTGTTACTATTATTATTATTATTGTTGTATGTGAAATGATTGTTGTTGTTGCTATAATTATGATTAGTATTTAACATTTTGTTATATTGTGTTGCCGTAGTTGTTGCTGTTGTATTTTTCGTTTCCGCACGAGCGTATTCATCGTAATGCGACCGCATAGTTCGCGAATTATTTCAAGACTGTCGTCGCTGGCCCACAGCAAACGAAAACTTTCGTTTCGTTCATTCGTTCGCTCATTTCATTCAATTTTGGCCAAATCACGGAGCAACAAGTCTAACAACAACAACAACATCATTCAAGCATGTGGAGTGGAGCATGTGTTTGTGTGTAGGTAGATTGGTATTTCGCTCCACATCTACTTTTGCAGAGGTGGATATCTCTGTGACAGAGAATGAGAGCAAGAGAGAGCAAACGGCCGCATGTGGAATGGGAGCCATTCGTTGGGTTATCTCTCTGCTCTTAGGTGTTATTGTTGCAAAAGTAAAGCATTGATTGCTCACTTACACATGGATGTGCTCCAATCAAACACCCATGTAATTTTTCGTATTGGGCCCACACTGAACAGTGTGGTAGTTCGATGGTGGGGAATAATTGATGCTTGACGGGGGAAATGTTTAGATTAAAGAAACTGAACATGAAATTAGACTTCCGTGAAATAATTCTACCATTCTATCATTAAAAATATATCATCATTTTTATACCCTCCACCATACTATGGAGGGTATATTAAGTTTGTCATTCTGTTTGTAACACCTCGAAATATACATTTTAGACCCCACAAAGTATATATATTCTTGATCAGCATAAAATTCTATGTCGATTTAACAATGTCGGTCCGTCTACCGTCTATACGTCTGTAGAAATCACTCTAGGTTCCAAACGAAATGAAGAAGGTTGATAAAATTTTACTCAAATGTGTGCTATGTCTGCAGGACTTTTGGTATTGAAAATGGGTCATGTAGGTCCACGTCTTCGTATAGGCCCCATATAACGGTACCTCCCGATATGCGGTATTTTGATGATTTTAGCGACGTTGTTTACCGGAATTGTTTCAAATTTCGTATATAGAGTTCGTAATGGGACCTACAGTCTACGACAGAAAATTGTCTATGCAGGTCCAGGTCTTCGTATAAGCCCTATATATTAGTACCTCCCTATATTCGGTGTTTTGACGATTTTTTCGTATTTAAAGTTTCGAATAGGTACTACAGCTTGTGACAGAAAATTATTTATGACAAGGTCTTCGTATAGCCCCATATAACGGTACCTCCTGAAATTTGGTATTTTGATGATTTTGGCGACATTATTCACCGGAATGGTTTCATATTTGGTATTTGAAGTTCGTAATGGATATTACAGCCTAAATCAGAAAATGGACACTGTAAGTCCACGTCTTCGTAGAGCCCCCATATAAGGGCACCTCCCGATATTCGGTATTTTGGTGATTTAAACGACATTATTAACCGGAATTGTTTCAAATTTGGTGTTTGAAGTTCGTAATGGATACTACAGCCTAAGACAGAAAATTGTCTGTGCAGGTCCACGTCTTCGTCTTCTACACTCGGTATTTTTAGAATATTAACACTCGGTATTTTTAGAATATTAACATAATTTTTAACGGATTTTATTATTTTGAAAATTGCCAAAATCGTTCCAAATGGTGGAGGGTATTCAAAGATCGGCCCGGACGCACTTATAGCCACATAGTGGTAAGGGTATTATGTGTTTGTGCAGAAGCGAGATAGACCCATAGTTACTTTTGATGATCTGTATAGAATCACATCCTGAATCGATTAATGGATGTCAGTCCAACCGTCCGCATTAATTATCCGATTGAGATGAAAATTTCCAAACAATATTTTCTTGGCCCAAGGACGAACCCTATTAAAATTGGTGAAAATCGGTTCAGATTTGGATATAGCTCCCATATATATCTTCAACCGATTTCGAATTAATTGTGCACGAAATGACCAATATCGATTCAAATGACCTGAATTTTTGCACATCCAACCGAAATCAGTCTAGCAGGAAGTAAATCAAATTTGGTGAAAATCGGATCAGCTCCCATATATATGTTTCATCCGATTTGGTGTTTAGGTCCCTCACATTCGTAATATGCATTCGACAACAATGATATTTAGTACCAGATATCTTATAGAGCTCGGAAACACCTTTGCTAAATTTAATCGAGATCGGTTCAGATTTGGATATAGCTCCCATACATAACTTCAACCGATTTCATGTAAATTGTGCACTAAATGACCAAAAGAAGTCCAAATGGCCTGTATTCTGGTATATCCGACCAAATGCAGTATAGAAGCAAGTACATCAAATTTGGTGAAAATCGGTTCAGATATAGCTATAGCTCTCATATATATGTTTCATCCGATTTGGTGTTAAAGTCCCTCACATTCGTAATATGCATTCGACAACAATGATATTTGGTGCCAGATATCAGATACAGGCTAGAAATGCATCTGTCAAATTATATGAAGATCGGCTCAGATTTGGATATAGCTCCCATATATAACTTCAACCGATTTCGGATTAATTGTGCACCAAATGACCAATATCAGTCCAAATCACCTGAATTTCGGCACATCCAACCGAATTCAGTCTAGAAGCAAGTAAGTCCAATTTGGTGAAAATCGGTTCAGATATTGCTATAGCTCCCATATATATGTTTCATTCGATTTGGGGTTTAAAGTCCCCACACACGTAATATGCATTCCACAGCAATGATCTTTGGTACCAGATATCAGATACAGCCCAGAAATATCTCTGCCAAATTGTATGTAGATCGGTTCAAATTTAGATATAGCTCCCATATATATCTTCAACCGATTTAAAGTTAATTGTGCACCAAAAGTCCAATATCAGTCCAAATCACCTGAATTTAAGCACATCCAACCGAATTCAGTCTAGAAGTAAATAAATCAAATTTGGTGAAAATCGGTTCAGATATACCTATAGCTAACATTCCCTCACATTCGTAATATACATCCCACAAGAATAATATTTGGTACCAGATATGCGATACATTCGAGTAATGCCTCTGCCAAATTTAATGGAGATCGGCTAAGATTTGGATAGAGCTCCCATATATATCCTTAATCGGATTTATATGATAATATCAGCCCAAATGGAGTAAATTTCGGGACGTACGGTTACATTTTGTGGAACTCTGCTCCGATACATGTTTATACCCTACACCACAAGGTGGTCAGGGTATTATGTCTTTGTGCATTTGTTTGTAACAGGCAAAAGGAAACGAGATAGACCCATAGTTCCTTTTGATGATCTGAATAGAATCACTTTCTGAGTTGATTTATGCATGTCAGTCCGTCTGTCCATGTATTCTTGTGAACAAAGTGCAGGTCGCATTTATTATCCGATTGAGATGAAATTTTCCAAACAACATTTGTTTGGCCCAAGGACGAACCCTATTGAAATTGGAGATAATCGGTAAAAAATTAGATATAGCACCCACATTTATATCTTCGTCCGGTTTGGCTTTTATTGTGCACCAAACGTGTAATATCAGCCCGAATAGTATGGAATTTTGCACACACAACCAAATTAGGCCTGAAAATAAGTATGCCAAATTTTATCGAAATCGATTCAGATATTGCTATAGCTCCCATGTATATTGTTCATCCGATTTGTTATTTTTGTCCTCCGCAGCCGTAATATGCACTCTGTAACAACAATATTTGGGGAAATATATCAAATGCAGCTCAGAAATACCTTTGCTAAATTTTATCGAGATCGGTTCGGATTTGGATATAGCTCCCATATATAACTTCGTCTGATTTACCATTTATTGTGCACCAAACGTCTAATATTTGTCCAAATGGGATGGAACTTGGCACATACCAAATTTGGTGAAGATCGGTTCAGATATAGTTATAGCTCCCATATATATTGTTCATCCGATTTATTGTATTTGTTACCCACAGCCGTAATATGCACTCCGTAACAACGATATTCAGGGAAATATATCAAATACAGCTCTGAAATATCTTTGCCAAATTTTATCGAGATCGGTTCAGATTTGGATATAGTTCCCATATATATTTTTATCCAATTTCAAATTAATTTTGCACCAAATGGGCAATACAAGTCCGAATTTAAAAGATACAAATGTTTCGGCATATTTAGTCCTTTAAATGTTAAATTATAGTTATAATCATAGCGTGTATGATTGAGTTCTCCCATAGAAACTTTTAATTGTTATGCGCAGCTCTACTAAATTTGCAAAGTGGTGTAGGGTATCATAAAGTCGGCCCTGCCCGACTTTAGGACTTTCTTTACTGGTTTTTTAATATAATCTTTCTCGAAGTGATATCCAACATCGATAGCAATGTTATTTCGGGAAAAAGCTTAAAATGTCTCCGTCAAATTTAGTGAAAATCGGTTCAGAATTGGATATGCCTCCCATATATTAGTTCCCTCCGAAATCAAACTATAATTGCTCTAAAGCCAAATGTTGATGGCCGGTGTGATCTACTTCAAATAAATTCTTTTGTTACGGGAGCTCCACTAAATATGCATAGTGGTGTAGGGTATCATATAATCGGCCGCGACCGACTTTTGATTTTCCTCGCTGGTTTGGTCTTCTCGAATAGCAACTTACACTGTTACATTTTCGATCATAAGCCCCAGCACTTCAGTTATGTTCCTTTGTGGTTCTCTCTCAGTCTCCTGTTCCAAACACTCTAGCAGTTACTATGACTTTTCGTAATTCATGCTCATCGAGAGTTAGAGCCTCTGTTCATTCAATATCTAGATTGCTTGCCATGCATTCATGCGGTAATAATCGCTATTAATTGGCGTATGATTAATTTTAATAAGGACGCTAATATAACTCATACGCCCCTCACACATTTAATTCAAATTTCGTAGGATACCTTTTTCCGCAATTTCTTGTTGTAATCCAAAATTTTCCGCAAAAGACTCCCCAATTCCAGATAAATAAAATTCCAAGCTCCTTCTCATCCCAACTACACCTCTGTTCGGAAATATTTCACCAAAATGTAGACATTAGAGCAGCAGCAATAATACGGCTCTGCAGCAAAACGCTAAACAAATTAAGATAGGCGATGTATGCAAGTGTGAGTGTGTGCGTGTGTTTGTGCTTTAATGTTTTGCAAAGGTGTAGAAGATAAGCAAAAGCAAAATAGAAAATAAAAGCAACAA